CCGCCGCCGGAGGGTCCCGGCGGGGCGGGCGGGGCCGCCCCGGGGCCTCCCCGCCACGGGCGGTGGCCGCCCCGGGGGTGACCTTCACTCCGGGACCGGACTGGGCAGACTTTGACCCGCGGCCGCTCCCCGCCGCGGGCACGGAGCGGAGCATCCCGGGCGGCGGGGCGCCGGCAGGGCGGCGGGGCGGCCCGCGGGGAGCGGCGGAGCCGTGGAGCGGCGCGGGGGGAGCTGCCTCCCTTAGCGGGGGAGGGGGAGCCGGTTTTACCGAGAGGCGAGACGCTGGGGGAGGGGGGGTGACCCGGTTGTACCGGGAGAGGGGCACGGCCGGGGCACAGCGTTCTTCACTAGCGGGGTGAGCTCCCACCGGGGCCCTGCCCGGAGCCGCTGGGCTCTGTCGGTGCTGAGAAGGGCTGGGTGGGAGCCCCGTTACCGACAGGGCCCCCCCTCGTCGGTCCCCGGTGCCGGCGGGGCCCCCGGTGCCGGCGGGGCCGGTGGCTTCGGCGGCGGGTGCTGATTCACGGGCCGGCGGGGGTGGAGCAGGGCCGGGACCAGCTCGCTGGAATCCGGACCAGATGTACCCGGCACGCCAGGAATGCTCGGCATCCCCGCCGGGCCCCGCCGCCGCCGCTGCGCCCCGGCCCCGCACCGGGCTCCGGCCTCCCCCGCTGCCCCGGGCCCGCCGTGACGCCGCTGCGAGGATGCTGCGGTGGCCCCCGGGGGTTTCCCGTCCGTCCCCCGCCGTGCCCGCTTTCCCGGGAGGTTCCCACACCCGGTCACCGGCAGCCGAAGCGCTGCGCGCTGTGGAAAAAAGGGATTTTCCCGGGGTCCAGCACCAGCCCTGGGGTTGGCGTCCTCGCCCTCCGACAAAACGGCTCGGAAAGGGGCTGAGCTGGCCGAAATTCCCCCGCCTGACAAAGTGTCTCCCCCGTCAGGATTAGCTGGCTCCCGTCCAGGTGGGACCCTGCCAGCAGGGATGGATGCCCGAGGTGAGCCCTGGGAATTCTGTCCCCCCCCACCTGCAGTGCCCTCCCTGCTGCGGCCACCGGCCCGGCCCGAGCCGCTGCCTTTATCTCTTATTTTCCAGCAGGAACGGCCTTGGATTGCCCTGCCTGTTCCTCGTGGTGTGGGGTGGCTGGAGCTCAAGCAGCACCTGCCTTGGGAGCGGGGAGGGATGGGAGAGTTGAGGCTGGAGCTGCCTCTGGATTCCATTGGATTGGGGGGTGTCCCTGGAGGGAGGACAGAGCCGTGGGTCAGTGTTGTGAGGAGGGACAGGAGCTGCTGTGGGTGGCACAGCACGGTTCAATCCTGCCTCTGAAATGTCTGTTCCCTCCCCAGGTGCTGCCGTGCCCACCCTGCTCCTGGCTAACCAGCACCAGTTCTTCAGTGGCAAGCTTTATGTCCTTCTCCAGTAGCTAAAGCTGCCAGTTGAAGAACTGTTGAATGTAGCCACTCTCTTCTCGTCCCTGGGACCTTGGATGCCAGCCAGAGCCGTGCCCTGAGCCACCAGGATGAGCCACTCTGCAGAGTGCTGTGCATTGGAGGGCTGAGGATGAGTCTGACCGGGATGAAGAAAGTCTCCTGGAGGATTGCAGGCAGCTGTGCCAGAAGGGTTGCCAAACTGTCCCCCCCCTCAGTGGGGTGGCACTGAGCTGGGAGGAGACTGAGAGAAGCATTAAACGTTGTTTTGCTCAACTGCTCAGTTTTGGGACGTTTGTTGCCCGTGGGTTGCCTGGATCAGGTGGGAAGATGGTGGGGACACAGACCCTGGAGGGGGCACAGCACCAGAGCCGTGTCCCCAGCGATGCCACTCGGGGGCCTGCAGTGGAGGGGGCGATCCTTTGGGCTTGTCCTGAGCCACAGGCTGGGCTCAGGAGCTGGACTAACCCTGCAGCATGGCAGGAGCCCGGGGACAGGGCTGGCCCAGGCCGGGCTGGGCGCGGTGGGGCCGGGCCAGGCTGACTCAGGGCCGAGTCACTCTGGGCTCTGCACGGCTGCTCCCGAGCCTCTCCGGGGGTTTTGGGGCTGGCAGCACTCAGAGGGGCCCTGGTGAACTTTGCTGGGCTCTCCTGTGCTCCAGGCTCTGGCTCGTTGGTGAGCAGAAGCTCCAGACTGCCCTGGAAGGAAGTTGGAAGCTGCTCTCCAGGGCTGGAGGAGCCCCTGCCCTGCTCTGAGTGAGAGGGGAGCTCCCAATGAAGGCTCCAGGGAGCCTCTGCACACCAGGCTTTCCCACAGGACTGCCAGCACCACCAGCTCCCAGCTGCCCTGGTGAATGGGAAGCAGGGGAGTGTCCAGGCATTGCTGTCACAGCCTGCCAGGAGGAGCACAGCTCATCCCAGCTCCGAGGGCGGGCAGGGAGGAACAGCCCTGTGCTGAAATGTCTGCACAATCTCAACTCAATCTGCCTGCCCAGCCTCCAGCTGCCCAAGGCAGGGCTGCTCCCAAACTTTGGCACCCAGCAAAGCACAGAAAGTGGCCTGCTGTCCGTTAAGTGATGCAAGCAGAATAAATCTGTTTTCTGGGGGTCTTTCCTTCTTACATAAAACTGCTGTGCTTGGTGTGTTCTTGCTGATGGTTACAAGCAGCTGAGTTTCTTTGGGGTGGTTGTCACCCAGAGCGGGTGGGACTGCTGGACACCCTTGGATCAGTTCCTCCCACCACAGCTGCCCTGCTGCAAGCCCGTGCAGAGCAGCTGGCACCTGCTCAGTGCCCAGCACAGCCTGGAGTGCAGTGAGGGGCAGAAATTCGGGGTGGGGGGTGCCTGAGGGCAGGGAGGAGCAGCTCCTGGGCCGTGCTCCCCCTCTTCTGCAGCACAGGTTGGTGTGTGAGAGAGCTGTGTGCCTCACAAATCCTCACCTTCCCTGTCAGGAAGGAACAACCTGTGCTGCAAACCCAGCTCTTTCCTGGGTAAAAATGTGGCTCCTTCAGAGCAGCAGCACCAAACCTGTGAGGTCAGGAATTGTAAAACACTGTGTTTCAGGTCAAATGTGAGGTGCCAGAGGACAGGTTTGGGTGTTTAACACAAAAGCAGCACTGCAGTGTCCCAGCTGCTGAGCACAGGGCTCAGGCTCTGGCTGTCCTGCACTTCTTGTCAAAGCAGAGGGGTTTGGGCTCTCACTGAGTGTCCCTGTGGGAACTTGCCCAGCTCCTGGACTTACCCTTCCTCCTGCACAGCCCCATGTGACTGGTGAGTAAGTGCAAGGCTTCCTGTAGAAAGCACAGCCTGGCTGTGCAGAAATCCAGTAACTCTTTCCTCCAGCATCTGGCCACCTCCTCCAAGCATGCAGGGCCACAGCAGGCAGGGCTGGCTCTGGGGTTTCTCTGCCAGAGTCTGGCTGCTTGTGCAGCAGCTGATGTGACACTGCAGACAGCAGTGACACTGCCAGCAGGTGCTGCTGGCTCGGAGGCTGGTGGCACCCCCCTGTCCTTAGGGGCAGGGTATCCTGTGCAAGTCCCTGCACACAGCCCACCCCGCTCCCTGCTGGGAGAGCAGCTCGTCTCGGTCACAGCTCCCCTCGCTGGGAAAATGTGTTTTTGCAAAGGAGAAGGTCAGCGTGACCGGTGTGCTAAATGAGAGCTCCCTGCCGACAGGGAAGGAGCAGGAGGAGCTGCTGTGGCTCTGCTGCTGCATCTGTGCCTGTGTGGTGGCTGCTGAGCCTCAGCTCAGCCCCAGGCCATGGCATCCTCCTCTGCTGAGCTGTGCCCAGCACAAGTGGCTGTCTGCAAACATAGAATGCAGGTGCTGGGTTCAGCTTTGCTGATGGTTTTATTGCTCCAGGCTGGGAGGATGTGGAGCTGTTGGCACTTGGTTGTGAGCCCCTGGCAAGGGGCACACACCAAACTCAGCTTTGTGCCAGCGAGGGGATGTTGCCAATGTCACAGGCCCTGAAAGGAGAGGTGGGTTGGGGGTTTGCAGGGACTCCTTTTGGTTTTGTGTCTCTCAGTGGGCTCTGCTGACGTGGGGAACAGCCCAGAGCCACCCACCAGCTTGGCTAGGATGTCACTTACTCTGCTTCTTCTTTGGAGATTTGTTTCCCCAAGTACAAAACTTCTGCAATCAGAGACACCATGGGGTCACAGTTCAGGCTGGCAGCTGCAGTCACATGGCCATCCCTGGCATGGAAAGAGGAAGAGTGTGGATCTCCTCAGTGTACAGAGCTCAGCATCCCCGTGGCCAGGGAGCAGCTGTGCTCCAGAGGGCTCAGGGCAGGCTGGCTGCTGCTGCAGGGTGCACAGGCACTCGTGGCAGATTGCCTGGCACTGCTGGGAGCTGGCACTGAGCCTGGCAGCAGTGGGGCAGAGGCAGAGATGTGTCCCAGGCTCTCTGCCCAGCTGGTGTCATCGTTTGAGCTCATTCTCTTCTCCTTCCCTGGCCTGCTTTGGTTTTCTCTGGTTCAGCACCAGCAGCTGCCTTTGGTGCCCAGCCAGGGGATGTGGGGCCTCTGTGGGATCCCTGCTGTAAGAGAGAGGGCTGTGCCCTGATTCCAGGGCATGGCCAGGGATTCACTCACCTGATGTAAAAGATCAGGAATTTCTCTTGCTCCAGGCTGCCCTTCACAACAGTGTCTGTGTATCCCTTCCCACAGCCTGTGGGACAGAGCCTGCTCAGAGCCCTGGCACAGCAGCTTGCACCACCCCACCTCAGAGCCAGCGTGCTGGGGCAGAGGGGACAGTGCCTGGGGCTGGCACGGGGCTGGGGAGCAGACATCAAGGCCCTGGACTGAGAAGCAGAACTGACTTTGAGCCTCTCCTTGGTGTGGAGAGGGAAGTTCTTCCTCTGTGACCTCTAACCCACTGTAGATCAGCAAGGAACCAGAGCTCTGGGTGAGCTCCAGCCCCAGGGCTCAGACTCACCATGGCAGCCAGTCCAGAGCCTGAGCTGCTTCAGGTGAGCTCTGTTTACAGCCCCAGACCCTGCTGGGGGAGGGAATTCCTCTGCTGCCCTCCCTGCCCTCCCTACCTGCATAGCGGATGCTTTTCCCAAGCATTGTGGTCCAGAAGTAAGGGACAGTGTGCAGCTCCTCCCCTCTCCTCAGCATGTTCAGAGCAGCACAGTGACCTGGCAGGAGCCAACACACTGAATATTCCTCCTGCAGCTCCTTAAAAATTGCTCCCCCGTGTCTCCTGCTGTCCCTGCTGCCCCATTCCCCTCCCTGAGGGAGCTGGAAGGTGACAGGTCCCTCACCATGGGCCTCAGCCACTTGTTGGTGGTGGATGCTGGACCTGTCCCCATCCAGCAGAGCCACTGGGAAGGTGACCACGTCCCCCGCAGCGAAGACCTTGGGGATGTTGGTCTGCATGTGCTAACGAGCAACAGGCAATTAGTGCAGTGATGGGAGGGAAGGGATGGGGTGTGAGCTGGGCTGCTCAGCTGGCACTCACCAGATTGACCAGGATGGCACCTTTGTCATCCCTGGCAATGGAGGTGCCCTCCAGGAACGCCGAGTTGGGGCTGGAGCCTGTGGGGAGAGCAGCAGGGGTGAGCTCTGCAGGGACAGGGGGGAAATTTGGCCTCACAGCTCCTGCTCCTGCTGGAGCAGTGACCTGTGCTCGGGCTGGTGCTGAGCCAGGGCAGGGCAGCCAAGCTGGGGCCCAGGACACAGCAGGGACCCGTGAGGCTCAGCAGGAGCCAAAGGCACAGCGAGAGTGGCAGCAGCTCCTCTCCTCCTGCCCGTGTGTGCTCGTGGGCTGCTGACCTCTCCAGGTGCTGGGGCCAAGCAGAAGGGCTGGATGATAGCAGAGTGGGAAAGATAACAGCAGGGAATGGTGTCCTGGAAAGGAGCTGTGATGCCCTGGGCTTGCTGGATGTTTTCCCATTCCCAAATCTGCCTCCCTGTCCCAGCTGCGGTCTCTTACCTATTCCCACCACGACCACATCTGCAGGGAGCTTCTCTCCATTGGCAAGGACAGCTTCTGTGACCTAGGAAAGAAGGAAAGGTCATTAATAAAGAGTTAAAACCTCTGTCCTAATTCCCACAGCCTCCCTGCTGCTTTGCTCTTTGCTGTCTTTTTTTCTTCCCCAGGTTTGGATCACCTTGTCCAACTAATGTGTGCTGCTGGGAATGTAAAAGAAAATCACACTGCTGTCCCTGGGAGAGGAACATTTAGTGGTGCCCTTTGAGCCCAGAGCTGTGCTCAGTGAAAAGGAAGGGAGGGTCTAGACATGGGAGAGGAAAGCCTGATGCAGGCCCTGGGTTATAGCTCAACTTGGGCCTTTTTCCCCTAAAATTAACAGTTCAGGGATCACAGAGGCATGACTGACCTTTCCATCCTTTCCTTTCAGCTCACACAGTTCTGTTTTCATGTGGAACTTCACCCCTTTATTTTGCAGCATCTGAAAAGGACTGGTTTGAGTATTCATTAGGAAATTCCAGGCTATAAAAACAGCTGTACCCAGCCAAAAGCCAGGCAGGCAGCTCTGCTGCTGCTCCAGGGAGATTCCATCTGTGTCCCTGGCTGCTGCAGGGACACAAAGCCTGGCTCTTCTCTGCAGTGCTGGTCAGGACTGCTGTGTGAGGTGGCTTTGGGGTGAAGAATTGATGTGTGTGGGGGGAAGAAAGAGTGGGACCAGCCGTGTGTGCAGAGCTGGTGGGTGAGGACACAGGCTGGGCATGCAGAGTCATGACTCAGCACAGGGGCGAGGTTTCCTGGGCTGATGTGATCCTGGGGCTGCTTGGATATCATGTGTTCTCCTCCTGGAAATCAGCCCCAGGTTCTGCTCACCCTCATGGCAACACCTCCAACCTGAGGACCCAGGGCGTGCTGGAAAGGGAACTCCTCTCTTTCCACCACTGAGATGCTTCCAGCCTTGTCTGAGAGGAAGGCAGCCACCTCCATTCCTGCAAGGAAGAGGCATGCCCGAGGTAAGGCTGCTGCAAGCATCAACCTGCCCCCTTGGGAACCTTCTCCCCTTCCAGAGAGCAGAGCTGACGTGCTGCCAGTGCTGAACTGCTTTGCTATGCATTTCTGCGCTGAGGTATTTAGCTCCCCCCTATTCTTTGTTCTCCTGGATGTTAGGGGATGCAAAGAATAGCTCCTGGTTGTGTCCAAAAAACCCCCTTTCTGTGCCCTAGCCCCTTGCTTTCCCAGTGCTTCTGGGGAATGCAGCTCCTCTGGAGGACAGTGACCTTTTCAGAAGGCACATTTCCCTCTGTCCATGTGTAGCAATTGTTTATAGCTCTCCAAGTTTCTGGCTATCAGAGGAAAGAATGAGTGTGTGCTGTGTAACACACACCCCCAGCAGCTCCAGGGAGGATCCCAGCTGGGCAGGAAAGGAACATCCCTTCCCCGAGGGCCTGCAGTGAATGTGCACACACACAGAAGGGGTTTGGAGGCTCTCACTGGGGGTCTGACACCCACTCCAGCCTGGTACCTATGAATGAAGCTCCCACAACCACCAGGTTCTTCCCAGTTGCCAGCTCCAAGATCTTGCTGGACTCTTCAGGGGTTTGGAGTGTGCATATGTTCTGCAGCTCTGCACCTGGGACTTTGAGGACACCAGAGCTGGAAGAGAGAGACTCCAGATGCATTTCATGGTAGGAATCAAACAGAAAGATTGAGAAGGGAGCACAAACCCACAAACACCTCTGTGTCATTCCATTCTGCCCTTCCACCTCAGTTCCTACCACATCCCAGTGCTGTCCTGCCCAAAGCCCTGTGTGTGGCAGACACTCTGTGCACTCACTGGCTGCCTGTTGCAATCAGCAGCTGGTGGTACTTCTGAGAGGAGCCATCCATGAAATGAACCTCCTGCCTCTGGAAATCCACGGACACTGCCTGCAGGAGGAGGGGGCTCACATCAGACAGCATCCTCTGCTCCCCCTCTGTGCTGCCCTTGCTCTGGGCACTCAGGGGAGATGAGGGGAGCTGGGATCCTCTCCCCTCTTCCCACAGGTCCATCCCTGGATGCACAGGTTGGTGTCACAGCCTCCCCACTGAGGGCTGAGCTCAGCTGCTCTGGTACCTCTTTCTCTGTCCAGAACTCTATGCCCCGAGCCTCGAGGAATTCAGGTTTCCTCAGGTAGACGTCCTCAGCTTTCAAGTTCATTTCCTGGAAACACAACAAAAAATGTGAAATGAAGCATTTCTCAGAGGCAGCAATTCTCCTGAAGTGTTCCTTGTGGAGTCAGTTTGGAAAAAAGGTGAATTTTACACGAGTGAATCACAGCTCCCCACACTGCCCCGTCCCCATCACCTTGTGCCCTCCTCAGAAAAACCACCAAATTTTAGTGGGAAGAAAGGAGATAAAACAACAAAGGGAGATAAAAACATCAGCTTATGTTGACTTTGATCAGGTATTTTCTGGGAGGAAAATGAATTTTTCCTGGAAATAACACCCCTATTGCTTTTGGATGCCTCAGCACTCCAGCTTTGCTCCCTCCACTGCTCCTGGCCCTGAGTGTGGCCCATGCCACACGTGGCGCCCATGCCACACGTGGTGCCAGGCACAGCCCTGCCCTTGTCACAGACCTTGCTCAGCTTGGATTTGTCATAGGGGACATGCTTCTCGTTGGTGGCCATGATGATCCTGCCTGTGAACCCCTCCTGGCGAAGCGTCTCTGCACACACCAGGGCAGCCACACCTGCAAGAGAGCTCATCTCACCTCACTGGGGAGGAGGAGGAGGAGGAGCAGGTCAGTCCTCCCTGGAGAGGAGAGTGGCAGCTCTCAGTGTGTGGAGGGAGCAGGGCTCAGATCCCTTCACTGACCTCCCCCCAGCAGCAGCATGGTGTTCTTGTTGAGGAGGCACCTCCTGCTCGTGTCCTTCACCCTCAGGCTGCTTTCCAGGTCCTAAAAAAAAAAGAAAAAAAAAAGCAAAATTCTCAAGTCACACTCAGCCCAAGGCACTGCCTGTGCTCAGTGACAGCAGGTAAGGTCAGTACCTTCTTTTTTGCTGTAATGAACACCTTTCCATCTTCCACTGTTACCTGAAGGAGGGAAAGGAGAGGGTTTTTAAGTGCTGCATCGTGAGTTTGTGGTAGGAGCTCTCCTGGGAGATCCTGGTCCGGTGTGCCATCTGCCTCTGATCTTGGATGTCACATGATGCTGAGGAGCTCATGAGCTTTTCTCCTCATCCTAAGAGCACTGAGGAAGAGCTGTAAATCCTCTTTTTCTTTCCAAAAGCACTTGTGCTGGCTCTGAGGACTGCTAGGATCTGTGGCATCACCTTTGACTGAAAGGAGCTTTAGGGCAGGGAGTCACATAATCCCAAAATCATCCCTTGTGGTGAAGCTCTGAGTGACAGAGCTGTGGTCAGGGCAGGGGGCTTGGGAGAGAGGATGAATGTGAGACCACCCAGCTGGGAGGCCAAGGAGTCACCTTAAAGCAGGAGAGACAGTCCAGAGCAGGGTACTCCTCAATGTCCCCAGTCCTGATGTTAAAGCAGGCCCCGTGCCAGGGGCAGCGCAGCCTCTCCCCTCTCAACACCCCTGCAAGAGACCCCCGAGCTGGGCAGTGAGCACCTCCCTCCCCGAGGTGGTTCTGTCCCCCTGCCCAGGCTGGGGTTACCTTTGCTCAGCGGGGCTCCGTAGTGGGGACATTTGCTGCCCAGAGCTCGGAATTCCCTCCTGTTCCTCACCAGCAGCACTGGGTACCCGGCCACCATCACCTCCAGGAGCCTGGGGGAGAGATGCAGAGGTGGGCACAGAGGTGGGCACCTAAATCCCCACCTCAACCCCCCCCAACCCCCCCAGGCACTCACTGTCCATCCCCAACGTCGTCCTCCCTGCACACCTCCTCAGTGATGGTGTCACCGCTGTCCATGCTGCTGGGAGCACTGGCAGGCACCCAAAGGGCCCCAAACTTCTGATGAAGCACCAAAATCACCTTCAAACACCCCTTTTTAAACTTTCTGTCCAACCCAACACCCGTTCCTCTGCCCTTTTCCCCTCTGAATTAACCCACTTCTCATTTCCAGCCCCGTGTCTCATTAAGCTCAGCTGCAGCGCAGGGGGAGTGAGCAGAGTGATAATGGCTCTTGTAAACAAACACAATTATTTATGGGGAGCTGCTGCTGCCATAGCCCATGTCTCCCTCAGACTGGGTCTAAAGAGATGCTTCAGCCTCTCCAAAGCCTCTCCAACATTTTTGCAGAGATGTTACTCATGGTAATTGCCATGAAAGCACTAATCTCTGCCCAAAATACCTCCTGGGCTAGAAAACAGCCAACCCCCTTGGTCCTTAGTGCTCTCTGTGCCTCAGCAGTCATTGAGAGGCTGATTAGGAATCTCCCTCTCTACTTTGGAGGGGGGAAAAGCAAGAAATGGAGCAGAGGAAGGTGATTTAAGGCAGGTTTTGGTGCAGGGTGGTGACTTTCTCCTGCACACTCCCCTGCACTGCTCCCCCAGTCCCAGATTATTTGGGAGAAGCACGGCTGGGTACTCACCTGGTCCTGCCAGCGGGGTCCAGGCACTGTCCCCCGGGTCAGAGAGCCACCACTGCTGCTGCCTGTGACTTTCTCCCGTGAGGTGACACCCTGGTGTCTCAGCACAGCTGCCAGCCCACGGCTGGTGAGGCTCTCCCCAAGTTGCACAACGCTCCCATCCCTCAGGAGCTGCAGCTCCTGGAAGCAGAGCCAGCCAGGCAGTGTTATCTGATTTCTGCAACTGGCCTGGGCCTAATTAAGGGTATTTTGCTGGGGTTTAGAGTTGCAAAAGAATTGAGGGCACATAGGAATTATGGCACAGGTGTGGTGTAAAGATGGGGTGTGTCATGGGCAGTGTGACCAGAAACTCAAGGGGTTCAGTGCTATCCCATGGTCCCTTCCCACTGCCCCTTTTCCTGGTGGACAGCACTCCAGCTCAACAACACAAGGTATTTTTGCAGCACTTTGGAACGATATTGCTACTTGTGATATATTTTCACAACACTTAAAATTCTTTAACTCGATTTTTTTGTAGGATTTTTCTCTGTTAATTTTCAGGAATGTGAAGTTTCCAGCAGTTCTGCATGTGCCTTAATTCCAGCTCTGCTCCTGATGTCCAGGCACAGGATCCCTTCATCCCCTGGCCCGTGAAGGATGGTTTGGAGCAGGGTGCTGCTTGCTGGGCTATTTTTAGAACAAAGTGGGAGTTGCAAAAAACTGGGAGTAACACCTACACTGTTTGTGTCTCCTCTTCTTCTTATCTCTATTTCACAGTCAATATGCTTCACAACTTAAAATATGCCTCAAAAATTAAGGGGGGAAGAGTTACCAGCAGCGTTCTTCCATCATCTCCCTTAGAGAACAGGAGATCCACAGGGATCAGCTCCCTGCCAGCAGCACCTTCCCAAATCCTGCAGCAGGGGGGATGAATTCCCCTGGTGGGTATCACCTGGAGAAGAAGGCAGGTGCAGGATGCTGGATCAGTGCAGGATGGATGATTTGGGAAGCAGTTCAGTTCATGGGACCCTCCAAGCCATGAGCAGGGTCCCAGCAATCCCAGCCCACGGGCTCTGCACACCCACGACGGCCACAGGAATGAGGGATTTTCTCACAGCACCAATGAGCAGCTTCTGGGCTCTGCCCTCCTGGCCAGGAGCCTGAATGTGAAGCAATTTGGCTGCCAAATGTCCGTATTTAAACCCTGTGTAATTATTCCCCAGAAGCGCGTTCCCACGTGGAGGAGCAGCAGCCTCCTCTGACTCAGCAGAAATCGCTGGAAAAACGTCTGCCCAGGGATGGAAACCTGCAGTGAACGGGCAAAGGGGCAGGCACAGAGGTGTGCAGCTTTGGGATGAGGCAGGTGGGGCTTGGTGCTGTGCAGGGATGTTTGCACTGCAGGGCTGGGCAGCAGATTGGGCTGCTGGATGCAGCTGGATGTAGCCGAGCACCCAGGAAAGGCTTTGGGAAAGGGCAAAACAAAACACCTGACAGAGGCAAAGATGACAGGATGGATATTAAAAAGGTGATAGACAGAGGATACAACGTGGAAAAGGGCTTTGGGTGTCGGGGAGAAGCTGGGGCTGGCTGCAGGGGTGTTAGTGTGTGTCAGGAATGCAGAATATGCCCTCGAGGGACTGGGGTGGGATTGGAGGCAGATTTTCAGGAAGATGCTCTGTAAACATCTTCTGGCCCTTTTCAGGTAAACCACAGGTGGTTACTCAGAGGGTTTTAGACCTTTGCTTGTAGCACAAGTCAGGATTAAACATAGGAAGGAAGAGAGGACAAGGAAGTGGTGCCCTCAACCACAGAGAGAGCCCAGGTGGGCATCAGACGTCTCAGAGCAGATCTGCCACCCACGTTGGTGCTGACTCACACGGGCTGCTGAGCTGACCTTGGGTTTTATTAGACACCTTCCCTTCTGCTGTGCCTCCCCAGGGCTGCTGGCCCTCCAGAAAACCCGAGTTTGGAGGCAAGGATTTAAGGGTGTAACTTTCCTGCCTTCAAGCTCCCACCACCACCAGCTGGAGTAGCACATTTTTTCATGCCATGGCTGTGTGGATTCATCTTTTTCCCACCTTTTTCCCAGCTCAGTGCCCTTCCCTGCTCTGCCAGACCCACTGATTTTAACAAGCAGCACCCACAGAGTCAAACTGCTCAGCTGCAGGAAGAGGAAGCGAGGTGAAGCCTGCAGCAGAGCTGGAGTGATTAATGGGGCACAGCTCTCAGAACAGCTTGGTTTGTGATATTAATAACGAGAGAATTCAGGAGGGAACCTAACCTGCTCCAAGCTGTGCAGCCAGCAGCAGCAGGAGATGCAGGGGGGAAGCTCCTGTGCTGGTATTTGTAAAACAGGAAGAATTGAGTGGGCTCAGAGGGTGTGACGCTGAGCTGGGTGTGGGGGCTGGGATGTGCTTCCACCTTGGAGGATTCATTCTTAACCTGTCTGAAATGCAAGAAATGAAACCCCATGTAGTGGTAAATGCATCATGATGTAATCATGAAGCACATACATATTCATCAAAAATTACTTAAGCTTGAGACTGGTGAATTAAACAGGGGGAAAAAATGTTTATCCCACAAGGGAAGAAGACAGGGAAAAGGAAATATTTAGTGGGAATGAATTTGCTTAGAGAGTAAGAATAATTATATGTGATGTTTCACATTTTCTTCCTAAGCATTCATGTCTGGTGATGGTGAGGGTTGGGACGCAGGCCTGGCAGACACCTGGCACCACTTCACAGTGAGCACTGGGAAGGAAAGAAGGAACCTGAAACCTGACTAATAACAGCACATAAACAGTTCAGAAAGTCAAAACATTTGGGGCATGGCAGCTGCAGAAAGCAGAGCAGAGCTGCCCATGCTGCTGAGCTTGAAGGGGATTTGGCAGCCTGTGGAATTTTGTTCATCCCATGGCATACCTGTGCAGCTGGAGTGAGGAGAGAGCACATCCTCTGTGAGAAGCTGGTCCAGCACAGCCCTGGAGGAGCAGCTGGGCCTGCAGCATCCTCAGGGACACTGCTGGCTACACGGGATTCTCCAACAAGCCCCTTGTGCCAAATCCTGAGGGGGGAAAAAAAATCCTTCCAGTGCTGGGAAAAGGGAAGGCCAGAAGAAGAAGCGCGTCCAGATCAACCTGCCCTGGGGTCATTTATCAAAGCAGGCTCTGCCTGGGTGGTTTGGGAGCATTCCCACCTGCCAGGCTGCAGAAGGCACCTGCTGTGCCCATTTTTCTGCTGGTGTCTGGCACCAGAACGTGCTGGTCCTGTGAAGCTCCCAGGAGATATTGCATTCCAGGGATGACCTCGGGAAGGATGAGCAGCCTGGGCAGCAGAGCACCTGCAGTGCTGGTCAAACCCTGTGGGTGCAAGGGAAGCCCTGCCCTCAGGAGTGAGAGCTGGCAGCCCTGGGCAGGGCAAACCCAGGTTTACCTGGGGTTTGCCAGGTTTAACCCAGGCTGACCCAGGTTTACTCCAGGCTGTGGTGCAAGCACAGGTGATTTCCTCTGCCAGATGAGTTCAAGTCCTGAGGTCAGTGGTGAAGTGCTGACTTTTGGCATTTTGGCATTTCTTGCCTTAAACTCTGGAGCTGCTCACCACACTCACAGAGATTGAAATCCCTTTCTCCCATGTCCACAGCAAGTTCTACCTGGAGAATATCCAGCTTCCACATCAGGAAGGTGTTCCTGGCTGCCAGGGGTGGCTGCTCCAGTTTGAACTGATTTCAGCTCTCTCCACAGCTGCCTCTGCAATGCTTTGCCATGCAGAACCTGCATTTTGCACAGTAGATTCTTTCAGAAGTGTGGAGTTCCAGACTCCCTGGATGGAGATGTGGATATATAAAGCATTCCTACATCATCTGACTTCTTATAGCCTGAGCAGACAGAGTGGTGACACAGTTTGGAGAGGGATGGAGACAACAGCTAATTAAAGTTTGGAAACCAAGCTGCATGATTTGTTTTGAGCTCTTGGACTCCTCAGATTACCCCAGGTGTGAGCCAGGTCTGGCATTAGGTGAGCAGATGGGTTTTATGACTCCCTGGATGCAGAGAGGCAGATTAAGGGAGGGAAGCTCTGCAGGAACAGGAGCATGACTTGTGCCTGGCTCCCACATCTGCTGGCTCCTCTGTGGAATCTGGAGCAGAGTGGGCTCCTCCTTAAGTGAGGGATGGTGGAAGTGCAAAAGCACACCCCAAACCCCACCCAGGGGTAGTTGGGGAGCATCTGAAGGGGACAGAGCTCAGCTGGCAGAATTCCTGTGGTGGATAATCGCTAAACTGCCAGCTTTTAATAGTGGAAAATGGGTTGTATATCTCAGCAGAGAAACCCCAGCCTGGGAAAGGGAGACAAAAACGATTGTCTAGCTATTTAATAAAATTCTGTCCCCTCGATTTACGCCCCGATTGCTGCTGGGAAGCCCCCACTGTGGGATTAGCTGTGGTGCCGTGGATGATGGGATGGACCCGGGCATGTCCTTGCTGGTGTCTGCCAGGAGTCCCCAGCCCTGCTGGGAGCAGGCACCGGCCTGGGCTGCATCCCCGCAGAAAATCAGGTCGTCTGGGGACAGTCGGAAAACTTCTGGAAATCTGGGTGAAAAAGGCAGTATCTCCAAATAAGGTGGGAATGAGGAATGCCACGGGATCGGCTCCCGGCTCTCCGGCGGGCGTGCAGGGACCTCTTGTGGCAGCGGCGCCCGGAGCTCCCGTCCCCGCTCTTCCCCTCGGGTTCTTTTGGGACAAGCCTGGCCCCCGAGCCTGTGGCGTGTGGTTGAATTTTTGGCCTGATCCGGTGTCAGGGGACTTGTTTCTAACTGGGCTTGGATGTCTGCAGTTCCAAAACCGCCCCCGGTTAATGCCATTGCTGCAGAGGAAGGAAAAGGCTGGAATCCGGGTTGTAAGAAACTACGGCTCAATGGGAAGTAAAATTAAATAAAATCTGGGCTAAAATGACACAAAAAAAGTAGTTTATATGTAACTGTTGGTCGTGCTCTAGCAATGGGATCAAAGTCCTTGAACCAGAGGCTCAATTAATCACGGCTTAAATTCCTCCCATGCAGAAGTGGCAGGTAAAAGCTCTCCAGCCTCCAGAAACATTTTAACTATTCCTGTTCCCCAGCCCTGAATGCTCATCTTTGGGATAAACGCAAATGGAGGAGCCCCTGGGGAAACAGGGCTGGACCTGCAGGCATTTCACAGTCCGGGACTTTCCCTGCAGGAAGGTGAAGGGATGAGTTGTCACCAGGGAAAAGGGCAGTCAAGATTTTTTTTTGAGGCTAAACCACCGCAGACGACTTCTCATTCGGAAACCGGCTCTGTGCAATTTTATACTCAATTAATTGTTAAATGATTTTTCTCCTCAGTGCCCTGAGCAGCCCAGCACGTCTCTAAGGCATGTCTCTCTTTCCTCAGCACATCTTATGCTGAACAAAAATGTCTTTGCATTTGGTCTTCTCAGTAGCAGATTAGCCTGTGTGATCCTTGCACTCCTAATACACGAGATTATTTAAAATCCCCTGAGCACTCAGGGCTGCCTATTACTTCAGGCACTGTCTCCCTGCCACGTAACTGTTATGAAAGTACATTGTCTTGCCTGGCTTTTAAGCAAATTTGTGCAGCATGAACAGATGCCTTTCTACCAGTTGGGACCATCATAGAAACACAGAATCGTTTAGGCTGGAAAAGAACCTCACCCGTCTCCCAATTTGATTTAATCACTCAGCCTCCCTTCCATCGGTGTGTGATGTTTTTGTGTCCATCGATCACCCCAAAGTCAGGACAGCAACTAAGAGCTCAGGCTCCACACGCTTCTGTTTCAGCCAAGAGGAAGTGGAAGATTTCATCTAAAATTAATACCTCAAAGCAGAGGTGGAGTTTGACATTAATCGGTGTGTACACGGTGACTCAGCCCGGCGGCAGAAGGGGAAGCGAGGGCTGAGCAGCAGCTTCTGCTGGAGACATCAAAAAGCAGCAAGGGAGCGATCAAATTACGGGAAGCTGGAAAAGCAGCGTAGTTGTAGGGTAGAACTAAAATTGTGGCTACGGGATTGTGAATTTCCACAACCTCCAGACAGCGGAGCTGGGGCGTCCCAGACATCGGGGAGCTCCTCTCGGGACCAGGCATGGGACAGGGGGATGCGGGATAACAGTGCTGTGGGCAGAGCAGTTTTAGGCACGGCAATCAAGTCTGTTTCCGTGCTTGGTGTGCGATCAGCCCCGGTGCTGTGGTGTGGTCCCGGGGTGAGCAGCTTGGGGAAGTTCTGCCCAAGGAAACAATGCCGGGCATCAGCTGCCGGGGAGGCTTTGGGGTGAAGGCCCACCGGCAGCAGCACCTCACGGGAGAGGCGTTCGGCACCAAGGTGGAGGAGGAAACTCCGGGGGACGAGGGAAGCGCCTCCAGCTCCCGCACAGCGACGGGACACGCGTTCCCCGCTCCGTGCCACGCTCTCAGCCCGCTCCGTGCGGTGCCGGGGAAGGCGGGTGCATGCCCGGGGCTCAGCTCCCGTTCTCCCGCTCCCGCGGCCCGACGGGGAGCGCTGCCCTGCGCGGGGCCATGCGGGAGCTGCCAGCGCCAGCCCCGGGGCAGCCCGGCCCTTCCCCCGGGGGTGCCCTGGCCGTGCCCCGCCCGGGCGGTGCGCGGAGCGGCCGGGCAGGGCGGTACCGGCGGGGCGGTGCCGGTGCCCAGGGCGGGCCCGGGGCTGGGCGAGGCGGAGCCCGGCGGGCAGCGAGGCCGGTCCCATGGGAGCACGGCGGGCCGCTGGACGCCCATGGCTTTCAGCCCGGGGCTGCTGGTGGTGGCCGGTTCCTTCGCCGCTTTCCGCCTGCTGAACCGGGGGCTGGAGCGGCTGGTGCCGCCGCCGCCCTCGGCCCGCCGCAACCGCTGGAAGTGGCGCAACATCTGGACATCGCTGGCGCACAGCGTGCTCAGCGGCGGCGGGGCGCTGGCCGGGTGAGCGGCACCGCGGGGCCCCGCACGGACACCGGGCTGCCCGGCGGGACCGGGACTCTGGGAGGGAATGGGGACATCGAGGGACCCGACGGGGACCGGCGGCCAAGGGGGTGCGGGAGGAATGGGGGTGTTGGGGAGCCTGGGGGTGTGAGGACATGCAGACTGCGGGGCGCTGAGAGAGGGAGGAAGGTCCGAGGGACCAGGGATGGGGAGACTGCGGGGAAAACAGGAGGAGAGGGGTGGCTGTGGGTGGAGCAGGGCAGCAGGAGGTCGCCGGGGAGGGTCGGCAGCACCAGGTGGGTGCTGAGGACACCGGCAGGGGAATGGGGAACCAGAGGCACTGCCCGGCACTCACGGCCTCTCTCCCGTCAGGTTCTACCTCCACCCCGAGATGTCCAACGACCTGGTGGGCACACACCCGCCCGGGGCGCACAGCCTGGTGGCCGTGTCTGTAGGTGAGGTGTGGCCATGGACTGTCCCCTGCTCCGTCCCCCGGGGGTCTCCGCGGGCTCGGCGGTGCCTGACACCAGCCCCTCGAGCCATGTCGCGATGTCTCAGGCACCTCAAACAATCGCGCTATTCTTGGCAAAGGACAGTGGCTCCTTTCTGTCCCACGGCAGCCGCAGCCGGGAGGTACTGGGCACCCTCGGGGCATCCCAAAAGGGCCCACATGGGCTTGGAGGAGTCAGTTGGTGCCTCTTCCTGGGAGCACATCCTGCAGAGTGACTGCAAGAGGGACCCAAAGCACCCCAGTTTCCTTCTTTTGCTGAGTGTGGCTCCCCAGCACACAGATGTCACCAGCACTCAGGTGCAGAGCCCACTGGGGCAGGGGGGATTCGCTGGCACTGCCCTTCCTGACCCCCTCTTTGTTCATGGCCTCCCCAATCCCAGGCTATTTCATTGAAGACTTTGTGGACATGTTGTGCAATCAGAAACTTCATCAGTCCTGGGAGCTGCTCTTTCATCACTCTGTGGTGAGTGCACCAGCACAGGTACCACCAGGGACGCTGGGGATGGGGGCTCCTGCTGGCTCTGAGGGGGTTTGCTGCCTGCTACAAAGTCTGATTTTATTTCCTGGGGAGAGGAGCCCGGACAGCAGGGCCTGGAGCTCCTCTTGGTCCTTCAGGATCTGTACTCTTAGAGGGTCTCCAGAAAGGCACCCAAAAATGGGGTGGTATCAGTGATGATGAGAGAGATGGGGAGACTGAGAGCTGGTCAGAATCCAAATTCATTGTGGACTACATATGATTATATACTCTTCTAGGAAAGCTACTAAGTTTTTACTACAATGATTGGGTTCATCATCACATAAACAAACTTACACATTTTACAACATCTCTTGCTTGCAGAATTTGATGTAATTTTCTTCTCAGTCTGATTTAATTTTCAGCTCTGTTCTTGCCAAGGCATCCTGATTATCAAATATCTTATGCTAATCACGTCCAAAGTCCATCACCCGTCTTGTGTGTCCCAATAGGGTAGGAAAAAACATGTGTACAGAGTATGGGCTGATCCACAACAGTGCCACTGGCAGCAGTGACCCCGTGTCCCCTCTGGCCCAGGTGAGCAGCTCATCTCCTGTGGCTCTTGCCCTTTTGAGCACCTGCCAGCAAGGGCAGCACATCCCCTCCATCCACCTCCCCTCCCCGGGGTGCTTTCACCCACCTGGGGCTGCTGTGGCTGCAGCAGCTGTGCTGCAGGACCCCCACCCTGCCTGGCTTGCTGTGCCCTGTGTGGGTTTCTCTCTGATCACCTGCAATGTCCAGGTGCCAGAGTGTTTTTCCCAACCCAAACAAGTCTGTGATGCTGAGACTGTGGGTGCTGCAGGACAGGGGGTGGCACAGCCTGGAGCTGGGCAGTGGAGACGCTGCAGGGTTCAGGGGAGGCTCAGGGTGTGCAGGGCCTGGGGAGGGCACAGGGACAGTGCTGGACTCACCTGGGATGAGAGGGGTGGTCAGACCTGCTCTGCCAGTGAGCCCTGGGGCTCTGCTGGCTGCTGCTGGTGAGCCAAAAGTTCATCTCCACAATAGCACTAATTCAAGCCAAGACAGTGATTTAACGGAGCAGATAATCTCATTACAGAGCACAGCACTAATGGCATAAACCAAAGAAAGGACTGAGTGTGCTGAAGCGTGGGCAGGCAGAGCCTGTCCCCCTGCCTGGCAGGGAAGGTGAGGGGCAGGAATGCTGTCCCAAACAGCCCCGGGGTGCTTCAGGGGGCTCTGACACACCAAAGCCACCTAATCCCTGCAGGGTGCCTGTCCTGGGGACAGCCCCTGAGCCAGCAGCACCCATAGCCCTGGGCTACAGTCTCCCTTCCTGTCCATTCACTGGGTGTGGAAAAACCTGCTGGGCCACAACGGGCTGCATTCTCTAGGCTACAGCAGCAGGGTAGGTTGGGCTGCTTTGTCTCCTCAGCCTACCTGGGGCTCAAAGAGCTGTTTCCTTCTCTTCCCACTGGAACGAAAACCCCACTCAGGTTTCATGCAATGGTGAGGAGGTGCCAGAGGCTGCAATGCTGCAGGGATGGCACTGCTGTGATGATCCTTTCCACCTGTGCCCAAGGGGTTCCAGCTTGCAGCAGCTGGGAGCAACCAGCCCCTGGGCTCAGCCCCTCTTCTCCTCCTCCCAGGTGATCATCTGCTTTGGAATTGCCGTGCTGCTCCACCAGTACGTCGGCTTTGCCCTCGTGGCTTTACTGGTGGAGATCAACTCCATCTTCCTGCACCTGCGGCAGATCCTGCTCATGGCCAACCTGGTGCACACCGCCTGCTACCGCCTCAACAGCCTGGCCAACCTGGGCACCTACGTGGTGTTCCGCATCGCCACGCTGGCCTGGATGACCCGCTGGCTCTTCCTCAACCGCCACAACGTGCCCCCGGCCACCTACGCCGTGGGCACGGCGGGCATGGCAATCATGACGCCCATGAACATCATCCTCTTCTACCGCCTGCTGCGCAGCGACTTCCTCAAGCCCAGGCGGGAGAAGGAGGAGCGGCGGGAGAAGGAGGAATAGCTCCTCCCCTGCGACCGGGGCAGCTCCGAGCCCGGGAGCGCCGGAGGGTGAACGCGGCTCTTTCGGTACCTTGAAAGGAGGGGCTGCACTAACAGAGCATCCAGGCTTTGCTTGTGGCTCAAGATCCTGGGCCCTGCCCGGCAGAGAGGTGCTCGTGGACCAGGCGCTGTGGATCTGCTCCCCAAACGCTTTTGGATGATGTGGTTGGACAAGTGGGAGGTGCTGAGAGAAGCCTCGACAGCTCTCACAGCTCCCCGGGGCGCCACTGAGGTGAGCAGGGGGCAGAGCAGCGCTGCTTCCCCACTGCCCTCCCAGACATCCCCACACCACGGGGTGTTTCCAGCCCCTTTGGTGCTGCAGCCCCAGGGTCCCATCAGCCACAGGACACTGAGATCTCTGAGGGATCTCTGTGCAACACCACCAGCAAGACAGGCTCCAAGGCTTTGCCTTCCAGGAGATGTCAGTGAAAACCAAACCCTGCACTGATGAGCCCTCCCTGAGGAGACTGCCCAGGCTGAGACCTGGCAGTGTGGGCACCGTGGGTGCAGCCCCAACCTCTCCTGACAACTGGAGCTTTTTCCATTTTGTCCCCAAAATAATTTAAGTGCCCATAAATGAGCGTGGGAGAGCAGGAGTGGCTGTGTGATGGTCACTTCCCACAGATGTGGGGTTGCCAGGCACTTTTTAGGATTCAGGCACGTCAGGAATGCCAGGTTGTGCTGCAGAGCCCGGGGTAACGCTCTCACCCGGCAGCAAAGGCTCTTACTAACACGAGCTTTTAATAAATGGCTGCAAATGAAGTGGCTTGAGGGGAAAGGACTGAGAGGGGACAAAAGGACTCAGCATGCCAGCCCAGTCTGGGGGTGTCACTGCTTGGCACAGTCCTTACCCCTGTCTCCCTGCCATGGAGTGAAAATACACTGCACACTGGCACACTCTACCTCTCTCGTTGGGGTTTTTTTTCTCCCACCCCTCTCCTTTCTGTGGAGGAAGGTGAAGGTTTTTAAATGTTCTTCCACTCCACATTTCCTTTTCCTCACAGTGGACTGCCCCCCAGCACTGTGTATGTAACAGGATCATCCCACCTGGAGTTACGTGAGCCAGGCTGGAGGAATCCACCGGCTCGGGCACGTTTCCTTTGTGTGGCAAATCAGCTTTCACACAAAATCTCCCCCTTGGTCTGAAGAGCAGGCACTGCCCGCAGAGGGTGGCACGTGTTCTGAGGATGGGGACACATTCCTGCTGGGCAGGGAAAGGACAGTGATCCACGGGCAGCGCGAGCCTGGAGACAATGCCTGGCCAAAGCTGCTTACATTTCTATTTGTGGAGAGCAGGGAAGCTTCCAGGTGCTGGGCACAGCTACTCCAGGTTTGGATTTGTCACCTCAGGCAGTGCTGAGGTGCCCGTGTGCCCCTCACAGCCCCCAGCTGCAGCAGAACTGTCACCCAGGGCTTTCTCTGTGGTTTGACCCATGTATTGCATAAAATTCCAAATTTTCCAGGAGCTGCTGCGCTGATCCTTGCCCTTAGCACAGCCTCTGCCTCAGCTAAAAACGCTGCCTCTGCCCACGCCGGGGTGTTTCTCAAGGCCTGGATTGTGCTCCCACATTCCTGCTGTCACGTGGATGTCCTGGACCCCAGGCACGTGGGGCTGGGGGCCAGGGCAGCCTGCTTTGGGCTCCTCTTAATCCACCGCGGTTTTCCCACAGGGCTAAGGTGGGATAAGCAGTGGCTTTGCAGGTCACCGAGGGATGCCCTGTGCCTGGCCATCCCCATGGGAACTGCCACTGCCTTGGCTTCAAAGGTTTTGGGAAGGACTCACCTCTGTTCTCACTGGATAGGGGACCATGGAGCTGCAAGGAGCATCTCCATCAGGGAATTAATTGCTGGGGAGCAACACCCCGGCCTGCCACCCAACCACCCCGGCTCCAGCCCCATCCAATATCCCTCCAGAACAAACCCTATTCCCATGGCAGCCCCACCCTGGCAAAACCCTAAGGCAAGAGCCTTAGGCTGAGCGACCCTGACAACACACTGAACCCACCCACAGTGAGCTGCACCTCACCTTTACACAGCTGCTGGGCAAGCACTGAGGGCTGGGGGGCACCTGCGCTGCTGGAGAGAGGCAGGAAGGGGGCAGCGAGGCGAGTGGCGTCTCGCTGGGGGATTGCAGTGCGGCCATGGGGCAGCGCTGGGGGTGAGCACCTGGCCTGCCCGGGTCACAGGGGCCGGCTGACACGGGCTGAGCGCGCAGAGGGGACGTGCAGCCCCCGTGGGGACGTCCCCGCGCTGCTCCCCGCGGATGTCACCGGGATGTGCCCGCGATTTCCAAAATGTCTCCCTGAGGGCTCCCCCCGCCCCTACCACCCTCCGTGAGGGGGGGGCGCGACCCCCCCTGCGGCAGCGAGCAGTGAGCTGCGCCAGGCGCCGTCCAATCAGAGGCGGCGCCGCGCCGTCACCGCGGCCCCTCTCCGCCAATGGGAAGCAGCGGAGGGCGGGACCGGGGAAAGCGGGACACCACACCGGAAGTGTGCGCCCAGACACAACTCACGCCCCTCTTCCGCCTTCAGTCCCGCCCCCGCCGCTCCGCACTCTGATAGGATAAGCTTGCTGTCTGTCAGACCTCCTGCAAGCTGATTGGGCGCTCCGCGCTGCTAGTCACGCCTACATCCGGGTCTCTCAGGAGCGGCGCGGTGCCGCCATTGTGGTGGGGGAGCGCGGGGCCCGCGGCTACCGGTGAGGCCCGAGCGGGAGCGGCGGGCCCGGGCGGGCCCAGGGCGGGCGGGAGTGACGGCGAAGCGACCGACGGCGGCCTCGTGGTGTTCCCGTACCTCCCCGTGAGCCGCTCTCCGCGCTGCCCGCAGTCGCGCCGCCATGGCCGCCGTGTTCCCGTACCGCGGCGGCTGCGCCCCGGTGCCCAACCCGCTGGCGCCGCTGCCCGACTACATGTCCGAGGAGAAGCTGCAGGAGAAAGGTGGGTACGGCCCCGGCCCCCCCGGTGCTCCGGCGGGGACAGGGCGTGAGCCGCCGGCTCTGTGTCCCCGCAGCCCGCAAGTGGCAGCAGCTGCAGGCCAAGCGCTACGCCGAGAAGAGGAAATTCGGCTTCGTGGACGCGCAGAAGGAGGACATGCCCCCCGAGCACGTCCGCAAAATCATCCGCGACCACGGCGACATGACCAATAGGAAGTTCCGGCACGACAAGCGCGTCTACCTGGGGTAAGGGGTCCCGGGGTGTGAGGGGGAGCTCGGGGGATGCGCTGCTGCCGCTGCCTTGGTGATTGTTGGAGGGACAGATCCTTCCCCAAAGGGCTCTTCGTGCTCGTTGTAGCTCGCTGAGGGTGCCCTGAGGTGTCAGTGCAGAGGAGGGTTGGCAAAAGGAGTTGTTGCTTTGAATTTCTGAGAAAAAACCTTAGCCTGGATCCATCATTGGAGGGGAGGCTCCTTCCCCAAAGGGCTTTCAGTGTCAGCTGTGGCTCAGTCTGCTGCTGTGAGGTGTCAGTGCAAGAGAGCATCAGCAAAGGGAACTGTTGCTTTGGATTTAGGAGAAAAAAAATACCCTGCAGAACACAGAGTCTCTGAAGAACTTGGGGAGAGTGTGGATGTTTTTTGAAGGATTAAGAAGCATCCTGAGTGCTTCTTTGCTGTTTGGGTGTAGGGAGCTGTTTAGTGCACACCATGATCTGCTGCAGCAACTTACCATTACCCATAAAAACTCCAGAAACTCACTTAAAAACTTCAGTTTTTGTTAGCAGCATTCCTGAAAGCCAAATCACTAGAAAACCCTGTGGTGGTCCAAAGGTGGAGGGGAAATTCCTGGATTTGCCTTTTGACCGCGGAGCCGCGCGCGGGAGGGAAAGCCGGGAGGTGGCTGGGCTCCTGGCAGGTGCTTGCCTGTCCCTGAGGTGCACTCCAGCGTGGCCTGCCTTGCTCTGTGGCTGCAGGGCTCTGAAGTACATGCCCCACGCTGTGCTGAAGCTCCTGGAGAACATGCCCATGCCCTGGGAGCAGATCCGGGACGTGCCCGTGCTCTACCACATCACCGGCGCCATCTCCTTTGTCAACGAGATCCCCTGGGTCATCGAGCCCGTCTACATCGCCCAGTGGGGGTAGGTGCCCTCTGCTTCACCCAAACCTTCTTTACATCCACCATAAAACCCCCCTGGCTTTAACTCTGCCCCAATTTCCTGCAGCTCCATGTGGATTATGATGAGGCGGGAGAAGAGGGACAGGCGTCACTTCAAGAGGATGAGATTCCCCCCCTTTGACGATGAAGAGCCCCCTCTGGATTATGCTGATAACATCCTGGATGTGGAGCCTCTGGAAGCCATCCAGCTGGAGCTGGATCCAGAGGAGGATGCCCCTGTGCTGGACTGGTTCTATGACCACCAGCCCCTGAAGGACAACAGGAAGTACGTGGCTGTGGGAGCACAGTTCACTGGGAGGGGGGAAAAACAAACAGAATGCATGAGTTAGGTGTGCAGAGCAGTGTGGGACCTTTGTGTGGAGAAAAACCTTCCCTCAAGGGTGGGAGGGAAAACCTGAGCGTTGGAAAGCTGCATCTTGTGCTTGCAGGTTGCTCAGAGAAGCTGTGGCTGCCCCATCCCTGGAAAGTGATCAAAGCCAGGTTGGATGGGGCTCTGAGCAACCTGGGATGGTGGAAGGCTTGGAACAAAATGAACTTTAAGGTTCAGACCATTCTGGGATTCTATGGTTCAGCATCCAGCAAGGCCCCTCTATCCAGGAGCCCTGTTACCCATCTGCCTGCTAAAACTGATGTTTGTGACCATGCTGTAAAGCTGACAGCCTGCACTCTAGCTGGAATTTGAGGTTTGCTGAAGGTGCACAGATGTTCTGTGTCAGTTGGACGCACAGGAGGAGAGGAGCTGGAGCAGCCAGCATTTTCAGGGCAGGAGGAGTCCAGACTTGTCTTTAACAGTGCTGCAGCCTTTTTTCAGTCTAGACACACCCATGTGCTACCTGTCCTTGATGGATGCTGGGTGGCAGAAGGTGTTTGGTGGCTGTGGTGCTGTGGCAGTGCCTGCAGTGCCCTTGCTGTGCCTCCCCAGGTACGTGAACGGCTCCACGTACCAGCGCTGGCAGTTCACCCTCCCCATGATGTCCACCCTGTACCGCCTGGCCAACCAGCTGCTCACGGACCTGGTGGATGACAACTACTTCTACCTGTTCGACCTGAAGGCTTTCTTCACCTCCAAGGCACTGAACATGGCCATTCCTGGAGGTCCCAAGTTTGAGCCCCTTGTCAGGGACATCAATCTTCAGTAAGTGTTTGTGGCATTTGTGTTTTCTGGAAAAATCCCTTCACCCAGGATTTTTCTCCTGGGAAGCTGAGAAGCCTCAGAGAAAAAGGAAAACAGTAATTATCTGATTTGCTTCTCCTGTGTTTTGCTCCTTTGGAATGTGTTTAGAGATTGTTTACCAACAAGTGGCTTCTCCTGTGTTTTGCTCCTTTGGGATGTGTTTAGAGACTGTTTACCAACAAGTGATTGTTTTATTAGTTTTTGCTGTAGGTTGTTGTCACACTTTGGCCATTCAGTGCCAAGCTGTGTCAGGACTCTGAAAAGAGTCACAAGTTTTCATTATTATCTTTTTAGCCTTCTGTAAGTATCCTTTCTATATTCTTTAGTATAACTTTCTTTAATATAGTATCATAAAATAATAAATTAGCCTTCTAAGAACATAGAGTCACATTCATAATTCCTTCCTGCCACGAGGGATCCCACAAATACAATAAGTGTTGGGTTTAGGAGAGAGATGAGTGGTTATCTAGGAAAGGGCTGATGGGATGTTGTCAGTCACAAATGTTTGTCTCTCTCACCCTGAATGCCTGCATAACAGTTTCTTGTCTCATTTTAAGGGATGAAGACTGGAATGAATTTAATGACATCAACAAAATCATCATCAGGCAGCCCATCAGGACAGA